TTTTGATACTTATTAAGATAGTTAAATTCTGTCAAAAAATCGGGTTAAACATTTTCAAAATTTAATCTAATTTTAACAAAATTGGAATTTACAATAAATTATTGTCATAAGTAGAAAAAAATTAAAGTTTTTATTAGAATTCCTGATAATTTTGTAGTTTATGAGGCAAACAAGAAAGACACAAAAAATCAGAATTTTCTTATAAATTCTAAAAATCCAAAAATTTTCATACTTTTAATTAAAAAATCTGTGGAACTAATATTTTCGAAAAAGTTTAGCACACTTTTCTTGATAGTATCGAATTGATTCTAAAGTGTATCAATTTGATATCAAGATGTGGATGAAATAAAGTATTGATCTAATTTTTTGTATGAAATTGATATACTTGATATGAATTAAATACTTTCAAGAAAACTGTAAATTAAAATTTTTTAAAATTATTTCAAGTTTTTATTTTCTAATATACCTATATTTCCGATTTATCCAAAAGTCGTAAAATTGAATTGAAAAATAAATGGATTTGAAAATTTTCAAAAAAGATTGTAAAAATAATAAAATAATTGATTTAAAAAATAATTTTTGTTAAAAATTGTAGAAAATAACAATTATAAGTTATAATTATATTTTTATATGCATTTTTTTCCTCGCATACGTAGCCAGTAAAATCCCAAAATATTTTTTTACAGTGAGTCAAAGCAAAATTGAGTCTGCCCTCTTTCATTATTATCACCTATTCCTACTGATTTTATTTAAAAATATAAAATAAATATTGAAAAAATTCAGGAAAATGTTGTTTTAAATGTAAACACATAGATTTCTAGTCCAATTAATAGAAAAATTAGCTTTTAAATATTATTTTTCATTTAATAGAAAGTTTGATATTTTTGGAGAAAAAAGACAATTAAATCCAAATTAATATTGAAAAAAATGAATAAATTTATATTTTTCTATTTACACATTCATTTTTTTTAATGAAAATTTGTATTCAATTGTCTTTTCTTCTCGAAAATTGTCAAAGAAATGAAAGTTTGAATATAAAAATGTAATTAACTTTTAATGAAATTGGCTGAATACCAATTAACGGAAAAATAAAACATTTTATATTATTTATTTCTATTATTATTTCTATGAGGAAGCAAAGTGTTCATGAAATGAACACAACGAGATTTACGAAAAAAATCGTACAACTTTGCAGCGGTTTTTTATGTTTTGTCAAGATTTATTTTATATTTTTTAAGAAAACCGGTGGTAATATTAATACATGTATTAATTGATTAATTAATAAAAAAAATTGCTTATTATTATTCATCAACTAGTATTTCATCAAGTAGTTATTATTTTATCAATTAGTAGTTCGTTACTGCTGCTACCGGTACTTAAATTATCACTACTTATATTTTCAATATGAATTATTTTCTTTGTTTTGCAGGTTTCTCCTCTGCAATAACGTCTTTCTGAAAATTTTCGTTTGTCCGCACGATAAGTATGTCGTCTATCATATCATGACTCAGGTTAGTGCGCAAGTCAGAAATGATAAATTTCATACCTATATACCTAAAAATAGTCTTTCGACATTAACTTGAGTCATGGGGGCGGCATGTACAATTGTCGATAAACTATAGAGTTCTGGAGATGAAGATTTTCTAGTTTCCCAGTATTTTAAAATGTTCTCTTTTACTGGTATTTTAGGAGTTTTTGCAAAGTCATCTAAAAGACTTTCAATTTGAGAAACGCCGCCATTGGAAAGTTTTAATTGTCTTTCCGCGTCTCTTTTTGCTTTCTCATGAGGAAGCTTTGCATTTGTGACGATTATCAATTTTTCAAAAGAAGGTTATACAGACTCATTTTCATCTAGAGCATAATGTATATTCAATTCTGATGTCCAGATGTATGTGTGAGTGTGTGTATGTATGTGTGTGTGTATGTCACAAAAAATTGTGTACAAATTATTATCTCAGACAAATTTTGATGTATTGTCCTGAAATTTTGCAGGCTTATTGCAGTCATTAATACCTAAAATCTGACACAAGGATTTTCAAAAATATCTACAAAATTTTTTTTATACAATGTTTAAAATTCAGAAAATTTTATTTTTGTATTTTTTGAAATAAATTTTTTATTTGTTAATATTTTCATTAATTATTCTTAAAATTACATTCCTGACAAGAAAACGAATCGATTGATGTATACAAAGTATATGGGGAATTCCACGTGAGATTTAAGTCGACCTCTTAAAATCGGCCAAAAATATTTTTTTTCTATTCTGTATCGAAAAAAAACAAATACGTATTTTTTTATTTATGTTTAATTGTCTAAATTTTCGAGTTATGAATTTTCGAAAATTTGGACTTTTGATTGTAGACCTATATTCAGTAGCTTATAAGTCAAAAAATATTAAGTTTAAGAAAAAGTTGTCAAAGAATGAAAGTTTTAGTTTTCTTTCGACTTTTAAGAAATGTAAACAAAAATATTTTTTTTAAATTTTTTATTAAAAAAAAAAAATTTTTTTTATAAAGAAATTAATTTTTTTTAACTTTGGGCCGGATTTTTTTATATTTTTAAAAAATTTTTTTGTACCTTATAATATAGAGAAGATTTTCTAAAAAGTCCCGAAATGGGCCTGATGTGTTAAATGAGTTTTAAAATATTTTCAAAAATCACTTGCAAGCATCATAGTGGGATTTTTTTACAATTAACTTTCTAAAACTGTCTAAAAGGTATAATTTTTAATATATTTGAGTGTTCTTTGTTTTAAATGAAAGGGTCTACGCTGTAAACAGTTTTAAAAAGTTAAATGTAAAAAAAATCCCATTATGATGCTTGCAAGTTATTTTTGAAAATATTTTAAAACTTATTTAACACATCAGGCCCATTTCGGGACTTTTTGGAAAATCTTCTCTATATTATAAGGTACAAAAAAATTTAAAAAAAATATAAAAAAATCCAGCCCAAAGTTAAAAAAAATTGATTTTTTTATAAAAAAAAAATTTTTTTTAATAAAAAATTATAAAAACATATTTTTGTTTACATTTCTTAAAAGTCGAAAGAAAACTAAAACTTTCATTCTTTGACAACTATTTTCTAAACTTAATATTTTCGGACTTATAAGCTACTGAATATAGGTCTACAATTAAAAGTCCAAATTTTCGATAATTCATAACTCGAAAATTTGGACAATTAAACATAAATAAAAAAATACGTATTTGTTTTTTTTCGATACAGAATAGAAAAAAAATATTTTTGGCCTATTTTAAGAGGTCGACTTAAATCTCACGTGGAATTGTCGATATATTTTATAAATATATAAGTATAAAATTTATAAAATTAATAAATATTTTTCTTTTTCACAAAAAATTTAAATTTTGTATTTTTTTCATAATTTATTTAATATTAATATTAATATTTTGAAATTTATTCTTACATAAAGGAAGAAGCAATTATCTGCTACCGGTCACTGCAGAGGGGAATGTCTGGACCAAAGGCCTAACTGGCGATCTAAATAAGTTTGACGTTAACTAATTAAGACGATAAGTAAGGCACTCAATTCAGTAAAACTGACATGTTATTAGGCAAGGAAGGAAAAGTGGGACAAGGAAAAACCAGCCGCGTTCGGTTCCAAGACAATAACAGAGCGTTGTTTTACGGAAAATAATATATCATTTATTCAAATGTCTTATCCTCTAATAATACAAGTGTTTCAGAAATACTTTTGTGTAAAGTCTTTGGGAGGTAGGTGTGAATGTGTCAGTGTACTTTTAAAACAAAGTTAACAAATCGCACACAATTCTGCGACGTTTGGTCGGCGGCAGCTTAGAAAAATTCGGCCATAGCTTCACGGCCTCAGGAGTTCCCTCCGGTGAACTGGGTACGCCGCTGATGGGTGAGGCTTCGAGATTTAGCACATCATTGTCAGGAAATTGCTTAGGCAACGATGGACTCACCACTCGCAGGTTGTCCCTCGGAGTTGGAGGCGATTTAGAAGGGCTGGCCACAATAGGGCTGAACGTCCCCTCAATGTCGTGACTTCCAAATTTCTCTAGAGCAACAGCTGGACTCTTTGTAGGCGATAGCGTTGGTGCTGAGGGTCACATGTGCCACATGTCATAGAAAACAGGAGAAAGTCAGGGAATTTTATTAAAAGTAGTGAAAAAAATAAATTTTTACATGGTTACCACAGGTCAGGGAAACCAGAAAAGTTAGGGAAATATAGGGTAATCTGTACAATGGTTGGCCACCCCACAATGATTGGCCGTCTAGTTGAAATATAAATATAATAAGAAATAACTTCTATAAAAACATTTTATAAACCATGGTTAATAAACTTAATGCAATCGTGCAGCCATTTCGACAATCATACTTATGTTGTCTATTGTCATTAATTTTAATGTAATTATTTATTTACGTGTTCCGAAAGAACAGCTTGACAGCTGCGAAGCTTATGGTGGTAAGTAGTGCATCCTTACAGAAAATTTGTCATTTTGTCGTTTTAAAACTACTTTTTTGAGAAAATTTTTTTTATACTTACTAAAGGTGTTTAAAAATAATAATAAATAGTTGTTTTATTAAAAAATATTACATTTTCTTAATTTATAAGTAGGCCAATAATACTCTCTTTCAATTATATGAAAACGCAATGATTGGCCAGGTTGGTTTCAAAGGCCAATGACTGTATTTTTCAAAAAATGATTAAATAGTAAAAAGAACATTATATAACAGTAAAATAAATGTTTTTAAATACATTTTTGGAAATAAAAAATTTAAAAACCCTCGAAATACAATTTTTGGTCACTGCCAATGATTGTACAAGTGCAGAGGCCAATCATTGAAAATTCAACATTTATCAGTGACAAAAGTGGCACCACCTATCGGTTCGGTAAGGTACTCATTAGTTTGACAGCTGACTCATCGTCAACAATAAATCGGACTGTATAAAGTGCAATTTTAGTCAGTAAGACACTGAAATTTTTTTTATATTACAAAAGAATGTTAGGTATGTAAAAATGCCAAAGTGCGAAAAGAATACTGATTATTGTAAAAAGTACAGAGAAGAAGATTTACAAAAGGCCTTGAAAGCAATAAGCGATGGTTTACCGAAAAGAGAAGCTTCTCGTATTTATAATATACCGAGGGCAACGTTACAATTTCGATTATCCTCGAAATTCTCTAAAGCACGACCTGGACCAAGTACTGTTTTAACAGAGCAAGAAGAATTGACTCTTGTAGATTGGATAATGGAAAATCAAAGAAAAGGATTCCCTCGTAGAAAAGAAGATATTCAGGTAACATAATCGTATTATTAACTTGCATTCAAGTCTATCAAGACTATTAAGGGTAAACAGTACAGTTGTTTCCCTCTAACATTAATTGTCATCATAACACTTATTTTTTAAATATTAAACAAACCTATTTTTCGAAAATAATACAAACAACCTCTTCCTAACCTAAAATTGACCTGTCATTTTGACGTTTTACGATTCAATGCATTTTATTATTTACGTAGAAAATTATTAATTCTAACGAAAACCAATTGCTATAAATGCATTTTTATTCAATAATCTTAAATATTATATTAGATTTGAACAAATTATTTGTAATTTTTAGTGGTCAATCAGTTTAAATTAATGATCAATCATTGTACGAACAGGCTGTATCACTGTACTGTTTATCTTTATGTACCTACTTTAGCTTCGATTATGAGGACTGAAATATTATTTTTCATAAATTTACAGGTGTCTGTGAAGCAATTTTTGGATGCATCACCTCGTAGTAATCCATTTCCTCACAACATGCCAGGAATTGGTTGGTTTAACGCATTTTTAAGTCGTCATCCCAGTCTTGCTATTCGAACTCCAGAGTATATTACATCTGCATCAGCAAATGTTTCTGAAAATGATATAAAATCTTGGTTCGCTCAAATTTACAATTATTTGAATGATAATAACCTTCAGCACATCCTGCAATATCCAAGTCGAGTTTATAACGGGGATGAAACTTGTTTTCAAGTTTGTCCGAAAACGAAAAAAGTAATCGGAATAAAAAATTCGAGAAACGTGTATGAGATTGAGGGCGGACAATCGAAACTTAATATCACTGTAATGTTTACATTTTCAGCGTCAGGGGATACTACTCCTCCAATGATAATTTATCCTTATGTGCGACTTCCATCTGCAATTGTACAATCGATTCCTAAAGAATGGAATTGGGGAATTGGTCTAAGCGACACCGGTTGGAAGAAAACAGAACTATTTTATGAATATATAGGAAATGTATTGTATCCAAGTCTTAAAAAGAAAGGAATTAAGTTTCCAATTATACTTTTCGTGGATGGCCATAAAACTCATTTAGATAAAAGAGTTAGTGATTTATGTACAAAGTTGCAAATAATTCTTATAGCTTTATATCCAAATTCTACTAGAATCTTACAACCTGCTGATGTATCAGTGTTCAAACCACTGAAAAATGGTTGGAAAAATGGTTTATCTGAATGGAGGAGAGAGAATCCTACTAAAGAATTAACGAAGGAAAATTTTGCTCCACTTTTAAAAAAAGTAATTGATTTGTCTATAAATGCGGAAATAATTAAAAATGGTTTCCGAGCTTGTGGACTGTGTCCTTGGGATCCTGATGCTATCGACTACTCCAAATGTCTCGGAAGTAGTGATTCTACGAATATTAAACCAAACACTGCAATGAATTTTGCCACTTTCAAAAATATTGTAGGCGAGGAAAAGGTAAATCTATTTCGAAGTTGGAATGATATGGACACTGAAAATGAAGAAAACGATTTCACTTTGTATAGACTTTATAAATATTATTCTGAGAAAGAGTCTAAAATTCTGGAAAATAATAATAAATCATCACAAAAATCGTTCGAAAATCAAGTTAATGATGCTGATCAAGCTCAAATTCTAGTTGAAGAGAATGATGCCTCCGAAGAAAGTACTCTTTCTTCAGATAATGTTTTTCAGATGGAAATTCAAGAAGAAAACATTGTGCAAATTGAAGAAATCAATATAGTATCTGAACAAATGCTTTCTGAAAATCATTTACAAAATTCAGAAATCTTGGACATGGAAGTAGTTATTGCACAAGAAAATAACCATTTAGATTCAACGTCAGATGTCGATTTAGAAAAACTTATTCAGGTTAATTCTACTGACGATAATAGTAATATTGCGACAAATAGTAATATTTTTGATTTAGAAAAAACTATTGAGATTAGTACTACTGATGATGATAATAATAATGGTAATATTACGAATCATTTGGCATGGCCGCTTTCTCCCAAAAGAAAGGGGAAACGAATAACTGAACGAATGCCTTACGATTTGACAAGTGAACAGTGGAAAAATATGAAAGAAATGGAAAATCTCACTAAGGAAAAAAAAATTCAAGAAGTTGCAAATCGAAAGAGGGAAAGGGAAATCAAAAAGCAATTAAAAGATCAGGAACAAGAAGAAAAGATGAAAAAGAGAAAAGAAAAGACAAAAACTGCATTAAAAGAAAATAAGAAGAAAACAGTAAGCAAAAGAGGAAAAAAATAAATGCAGAGGTATTATTATTTGTAAGGCGGTTAATCACTGTATTTTGATAATTTCATAGGCCAATGATTCAGTTATTGGCCTCTGCCAATTTCTATGTGTTTCGGGCCAATAAATGTATTTTTGACAGTTGTGTTATTTTATTTAAATATTTATTATTTACAATTTCCTACTCCTGTGTCATTATCAAACATTAAAAATAGAATAAATTTGCTTCCACTTTGTGTTTTCATAATTCATTTTTGACAGGTACAGCAAATTTGGCAATCAGCTAAACATAAAAATTCTCTTAAGGGGCCAATCATTGTACCGATTACCCTATTAAAAGTGCTGAAAAAACATTTAATTTCTATAATTCATAAAAAAATTATGAATTTTGGTTTCCTTTTTTGCTTGCCTCGTAAACTATACAATTGACACAAATTCTAAAAAAAACTTTAAATTTTTTTATTTCTGACAATAATTTGTTTTTAATAACTTATAAATTATTAAGTGAACTAATTTTTTTAAAAAATTTTAATTTCAATAGAGTTTAAATTACTTGAATTTTTTAAATATGCAAAAATTGCACCCAGAAATTCAATTATTTTCAGGAATTTTAATAAAATGCATTGCAAATTTTAATTATTCTCATAAATAACAATATTCATCACAATTTATTTATTTTTAAAGGAAGTAAAATTCCTCACAGAAATTTAATTATTTTAAAAAGTTTTATGAAACATTCCCGACAAGAATAATCGTTTTGAACTAATGTTCAAAATCACCTATAATTCGTAAATTTTAACCGAATGCAATTTTTCTTTTTGGAGAAAGTCAGGCAATAAATTTTTAAGAATACTGTGCATTTTTTAAATTCATATTTGTTTAAACAAATTATTATTATTATTGTTAATTACTAACTTTTTACATATTGTACCTAGGGAGCGCCAGGACAAAAAATTTAATATCTCCTAAAGTTTCAGACCCTCCATCGATTTTTTTTTGGAAAATACTCGCGAAATAAGTGGGAATCGAATCATTGTTATTAAAAGCAAAAAAATAGCACTTTTCAAAAAATTGTTTATTTAAAAATTATTTTTTAAATAATTTGTTTTAAAAAAAAATTTTTTTTTATAATATATTTTCTTGAATTGTCTGTAAACAATAAGCATTTCCTGAAAATTTTATTAAATTTTATTCATTTTCCTTAGAGATATACCATTTTCAAAATTTCAAAAAAATTTTTTAAAACCTCGTAAATCCAAAATTTTTTGAAATCGATTTAGGGTTTTTATTTTACTGGTATGTATTCCACTTCAAAATTTCGAAGTTTCAACAAAATCGAAGAAGTAGGGGACAATTTTGATTTTTTAGGCATGGAGCTACCCAAGGGTGTTTACGAAATGCTCGCCCTAGGGCGCCCCGAGGCGACCAAAGGTTCTCAAAGTCACTTTTATTATTCTTTATTTATATGAAAACAAACGATAATAAAAGTGACTTTGAGAACCTTTGGTCGCCTCGGGGCGCCCTAGGGCGAGCATCTCGTAAACACCCCAAATATTTATTTTCACAAATTTTTAAATTGTTAACTTGCAGTTTTAAAAACAAATGAATTGTTATAACATTGTTGACGTGAACGTTAACAATTTGAAATTTTGTGAAAATAAATATTTCAAAAAAAAATTCTTCTGATTGCCAGAATGGTTTAGCCTGCTTGAAATTCATAGGAAATGTTCATAATTATTTTAAGAACTTGTAGTAAAAATTTGATAAAAAAAGGTGGTGTTTTTGAGAAAATTGATCTTATTTATTTTCAGAAAATCGTCTCCTGTTTTTATAATTTTTAATATTTTTTCAAATTTCAAACTGGATTTTGAAGAGGACAAGACCATCTACAAGACCCAGGAAAGAAAATTAAATTATACTCAATGGAAAAAAAATGACAAGCAAACAATTTTTTTCACTGTTCATTCGAGTTTTACGTGTCTCTTTATTTTTCATGTACAATAACATATTTTATCGACAGCTAAATCTATAACTTGAAGTTAGTCGACCTGCCTGATTTGAAATGGATTCGGTCATAAGTAAAACGAAATTTTGTATAGAAATGCATGTAGGGGAGGATGGGGCAAAGATAGTTAGGTAAGACCTTTTCGGATCTAGCGGCCAAACTTGACGTTGCACAGTGGGGTAAAAAACACGGCCTTGGACAAAACAACTAAGAGGCCGCAATTTTTAACCAAATTTAACAAAATTTTGTTTTAATTAAATTGCGCCACGATTCCTCGAGGCCGATTTTTAATAATATTTTAATGAATAATATCTGAAATTTTTTATGTGTTAATAAAAATTGAAGCGTTTTGTGCAGAAACCGCATAAGTCAATTTTTTTCGAAAATCACTTTTTTATTGAAAATTTATCTTTAAATGAAGCTTTTCAATCTGGTTAAATATTACATAAGTGACTAAACTCAGAACCCTTAAAAAAATAATTAAAATATCATTTTGTGCAGAAACAGCACAAGTCCATGACAAGTTTTATATTTATTTGTGATATTCTTGACGTATTTTAATAATTTATATTAAACAGTTTATATTATAAATAAAAACACTCATGGGAAGCAAAAAGTGACAGAGGTGACTGAATTATTTTAAAATTAGAAAATATTGAAAATTGGTTAAATTTATTCTTAAAACAATTTTATTATTTATAAAATGTTACTAAAAATTATCCAAATTTAATATTTTATATAAATGTTATTAAATATTTCATAAAACTTTGATATTTCACTGGATTTAATAAATTTTCTGTGTTTTTCATTTCATTTTGTGCAGAAACAGCATAAGTCCAAATGTTAATTTATTTTTTAATTTTTTATATTAAGTAGATAATTAATTAATCATATTGGATTTTTTAACTTATAGGTTAGTAGAATATAATGCAAAAAGCCGAATTAAAAAAAATCTTAACATTTACGAGAAAAACAGTTTTTATTGATTCTTGAACAATTTCGAATTATGGACTTATGCTGTTTCTGCACAAAACGCTTCAATTTAAAAAAAAATTTTCAAACAAAGGCTAATTTTTGTAAAATTAACTATCTTCTTCTTCTTTTTACTTCTTTGTCTTTTAAGAAACTTCTCCTGAGTATTTTCCAAAAATAGAAAGTTAATTAACAAATATTTTTCTTATTTGTTATAAACAATTTAATGCAGAAAAACTTTTTTGTGCAAATTTTTTATATTTTATTGATTCTAAGTAATATTTATTTCTTACAAAATAATTTAATAAGAAAACTTAATAAAATACTAAAAATTAATAATAATTTAATATTATTTATTAACTTTTGTCATAAAAAATATAAAAAAATGATAAATATATAATTTTTTATGACCAATTAAAGCTTCTCTGCTGTTATATCTGCTTAAAGTTATTGTTTCTTGAAACAACTTTAAAATATTATTATAATTGTTTATAAATAATCTTAACTAATAAATACTAGATATTATTCATTTCTTTTATAATGAGTTTTTGCAAAACTATTTCCATAAAATTAAAAATCAATTTAATCTGATATTAGTGAAATACTTTTATATGTAGTTATTTAGTAACAATGATTGTTACTAAATTAATTAATTTAATAAATAGTATATAATTATACAATACAATAAATAATAGTATGAGATAATATAATAAATAATATTAAAGGTGAAGAAGCTATCAATTTTCCGAATCAAATTTAACAAATAAATTAAATATCTTAAATAAATCTCTATAAGCTCATGGGTTCTTGTATGTATCGACAGCACAGCTGTCCTAATACAGAAATCTGCTTAATCTGAAAAATATTTTCGAAATTAATTAATAATTTCAAAATTATCAAAGAACTCAGAAAAAACGGTAGCATAGTGGGATACGAGCCCACGACCTTTCTTCACCTTTAATATATGTATAACTGCCAAATGATAAATTCACTTTCTATAAATATAATAATAAATAATAATTTTGATTGAATTAAATAAATAATAATTAAAGTTTTATTTACATTATTTTTTTAATCCAACACAAAACAGGGTAAAATAAACATACAAGTTTTTAAAGATATACTGAACAATGATCGAAAAATCCTGATACATCAAAAATAAAAATGTTGTAACTAATGTAGACGAAAAAAAATTGTAAATAATTCGAAAAATAAATAAAATTACGAACCTACGAAAATTGAAAAAACCACACTACCTCGAAGAACGCAGTAAAAGTGAAATGTGGCGTTCAACTATAAACCGTACTTATATAATAAACAAGATTCATGTCGATTGCGAGAAAGGCATCCATCTAGCGGGCTTTAAGAATTTCTTTTAGAGGGAAATTTTAAAATTTGTTGTAAATAAAAATGTTTAATTATTATATTATATTATCTCATATTATTATTTATTGTATTGTATAATTATATAGAGGAGAGTTGTCAGAGTTGGACGGGGTTTAGGGTTGAGCCACCGCGTTTATTTTGTTTTATCGCACTAGCGCCATCTATCTTTTTACAAAAATTCTTGCTACTAATGTCAGCCATCTTTTCATATGAGTCGCAGTTAAGTATACGAATATATACTTGACTATCGTACCACTTTGTGGTATAGGCTCAACAAAAATTTTATGTGGTGTCAAAAGAAGAGAACTAAATGTAAAAGAAATGTGCCAAAGACAAAATAAGTTTACAGAAATTGTTCATTAAGATGATATGTGAAAATGTGTAAAGTAATTTAGTGTTTGTGTCACGCGTTTGTGTTCTGTGCCCCTATGACACAAAACGACACGTGAGTCAGAGTTGGGCCATGAGGGAAATTTTGCAATTACAAAGCGTACTTGCAACAGAATAGTATATTAAGCAACAAGAGAATAAAGGCAGCCAATTTCTTTACGATGATTTTTGTGACACTTGTTCCGGTCTCGGGGCGCCCTCGACCTCCACTCGTGTCACAAGAATCATCGTAAAGAAATTGTCTGCCTTTATTCTCGTGTTACTTACAATATTTTTTTTTCCTAATGCACAAAAGTGGCGATTTCAGATAGCAGACGACAGGGAGTAAAAGTCATTCACTTGTTCGACTTGTATGAAAATGGCGGCCGCTTTCTCCCATGGGCAAGAAAAATGCATGTGAAGCTTCCATTCCTCATTCCCAAGTGTCATCTATTTTTTTAAGGTCATTTTTAATCATTTACCTAAATATTTCATTGATTTTCTACAGTCGCCCAATTCGGGTGACCATGATCAACTCTGACAACATTTTTTTTT